TCACCAAGCATGGGGCTCCTTTGAGACTTAGAGCCCCACAGTCTGATTGGCCAACAGTAGGTCCCTCTCCTCTGCTTTCCCCTGCTTGTCCTGACACTGCCTCCTTGGTGCTCCTGCACCAGCAGCCCCAGAAATGGGGGCTCCATCCTGTGTCTTCAGCAGGCCATGGACAGCCCTCAACAGTCAGTACTACTGGACTCCTCCTGTCTGATACCTGAAGCAAGTCTGTTTGTCTCACCTCCCCAGAGCCCAGCACAGGACTGAGGAGCAAGGGGTGGCAATCAGCTAAGGACATAAGGAAGCCACTCCTCGATCTTAATGATCCCAGGGAAATGTAGTGGTGTAGAGGCTTGGCTGATACAAGCCAGCACCCCGAAGGGCCGCTCTGGGGAGAAAAAAGTGGAGCCTTCAAAGACCCTTCAGACACAGCATCTTGCAGCCTCCAGCCCGGGCTGGCATGTGTCGGTGTCTGCCCCCTACCCAGGCTGATACCCTGAGCCTGACCCCAGCGATCCACTCCTGGAGTCCCTACCTCAGAAGGGCCAGCTCCTTCTTCCAAGATGGCAGGGAGTGAAGAACAGGGCTTGCGAACCAGCCCAGGTTGGGATTGAATCCAAACTCTACGCAACCATGAGCTGGAGGAACACGGTCTGTGATTCTCCGTTTCCTCATCTGTGAAGGCTCCTGCGCCAGGATCATCCAGCTCATCCTCCCTATGCACTTCACAGCCTCTCCCACCACACTGGTCCTCCTCCCTTCTCCACCTGACTGTAACCTTCCCAAGCCCATGCATTTGAAAGCCCCAGGCATTATTAGCATGTCCTTGTCTCAATCATGATACCAATTATTCAGTGCTCATTGTGCCCAGAACCACATTACCATACATGCACAATTCACCAAGATTCCCGTGTGGTAGATCTCACTGTGTCCATTTTCTTGACCAGGAAACCATGCCTCGGAGAAGCTGAGGAAATCCTGCAGAATCATGTACCCAAGCTCACAGGCAGAAAGAATCTGGCTTCAAACCCAGGACAGGTTTTCCCGGTTCACAGGCTCCTCACTGTGCTGGAGAGACAGCTCCACAACAAATGTGGTGAAAGCATGAATCTCTTGAGTGAACCAGTGATGGGCTTCTTGAGTGAGCAAGAAAATGAGCTTGAAAGTAAGTGGATAACTGACGACAGAAGAAAGGGAGAAGCGAGGATAAAATGACTTCTCATGAGTGAATGAATGAGGTGATGACTAAACCTGGGACCATGGTGGTCCTGTAAACCTGACAAGCTCAGGCATCACACAGCAGGGCTCAGGACGCACGGGGGTGTCTGGTGATTGGCTGGGCCCAAAGCTCTTCTGGGGCCCGTGCAGGACTTAAGGAACCTCTTCAGGAATGGAGGGAAAAGATGAATTTCACCCAATCCGGCACATTTCTTACTGCTAATTAATCAAGCAAGCCTCGGTGAGGAGGCCAGACTCATACATCAGGAGGCAAGGCTGGGACTTTGACATGCTCTAATTAGGTCACAGCGTTCCTGGTGAGTGGGCAGCTGGTGAGAACACCAGGGGACCACTCTTCTCCACGCACCTGTTATTCTGTGGCACCAGTCTTGCCTGACCCTGGCTTCTCCGCTTCCCATCCTAGACACTGACCACTGTGCCCCACCCCACCCCGGGATCGCAGAGGCCAGTGCCGGGCGGCCCAGCTTGCAGGTGGTGACAGCTGTGGGAAGGGGCACAGGTGGAGGGTGGGAGCTGGAACTTCTCACAACTTTGGAAACAACATTTAGAGGAAAAGAATGGAGATGCTGGCTTCGCCACATCAGGTTTGATTCCTGGTTCTGTGAAGTGGTTAACAGCCCAGGCTAGCTCTGACCTGGGTCATTTATTAGCTATGTGCATTTAAGCAGGTTGCTTTGCTTTGCTAAGTCTTCTCTCCTCCTGTAAGCAATGGGAATAATGACAGCACCAAGGAAACATGGCCGCGGGCGAGGACTAAGTGAGAGCATAAAGGGAGGGGCTTAGCCAAGGGCTCACCCAAAGCAAAGGTTGGATGTGCACTACTTAATATCTTTTCACCACTGACACGCGGCCTCATTACCTGCTAGTACAAGGGTCAGCAAAGCTTTCCTGTAGATAGCCAGACAGTGAGTGTTCCTGGCTTTGCAGGATGCATGTCTCTGCTGCTACTACTCAGCCCAGCTGCTGTGGGGTGAAAGCACACAGATGAGACCTAGGCAAGTGAGTGTGGTCATGCTCTAGTGAAACTGGATGACTGAAAGCTGACTTTCACTTAATTTTTCACACGTCACAAAATGTTATATATCCTCCTATTTTTCCCACCTTTTAAATTTTTCTATGAAAGCATTGTTGTGTTACGTGTCATGTGAAAACAGGCATCAGGGTAAATTTGACTCATGGGTCATAACTTGGCACCTCAGACTAGAATGTGAGCTCCATGAGGACAAGGGACTTGGTTTCGTACACTGCTGTACTCCCAGGATACAGCAAATAGCAGATACTCAGGAAATATATGCTGAGTGAACGCACTGCACACTGTGATTCTGTGAAAGATGTCACCTCACCTCTCCCGGCCTCAGTTTCTTCATATGTACATTCTTCGTGGATGCTTTCGAACTTGAGGCAGGCATCAGCTGGACCTGGGGTGCACATGGAGGCACTGCAAGCTCTGCAGCTGCTGTGTAGGCAGCTGCTGTTCCCGTCCTCATGCAGGCCCTTCTCAGGGAGCTGCTTCCAGAGGGCATGTGTGTCATGAGCACTCTGACCCGTGAGTGGAGAGAGATGCCCGCCACTGCACCCCACTCCTGTTAGAGGTGCGGTTTAAGGACATTGGCCAGGAGCAGCAAGGTGATCTGGATTCAACGGCGGTGATATTCTCTGAGGACCCATTAAATAGGCAGGGCAGTGAGGTAGGCAGGGGTTTGAACTCAGGCAGACCCAACCCAGGCTCACTTACTCCCTATGTGACTGGAGACAAGTCACATAAATTACCTCAGGCCGTGTCCTCATCTTTAAGACAAGTCCTCACCCCGCAAGATTCCCAGGTGCTCATGAAGGGATCTGCCTAACAGGCCAGTCCTGGCTAACCCAGCACACAGAGAGCCCAAATGCATGAGCAACCCTTTCTCCTCTCCTTCAACGGGCAGGGTCTGACCGCCAGCCGAGGCCAACCTGGCGTGGGAAAGATGCACAAGAATTCTGGCTTTGGAGCAGCATCAGATGAGTGGAAAGAAGACTGGCCTCCTGCAGTCTGACCTGCACAGGTTTTCAGCTCTGAACAAAAACCTGCTGTTCCTCTTCCCTGAACTGAAAACTTCTTTCTGCACTACAAACTCACTAAAGCCAAGCAATCCACTGCTTTTGGAGAGATGATGATACCAAATTCTAATTTCTCTTCCTTCCCATTCTCCCTGCCAACCTGTCATGAAAGAAGATGAGAAGCAAACCTCATTTGGCCATTTGGTCCTCTATCCAAGGAAGAAGATTTATGGGAGAAAAGAAGAAGTTCTTTAACACATGAAGCTATAAATATTAAGCACATTTCCTTCACAGAGCCCGTCTCTCGTGTCACCACTGCTCTTTTATCTTGTCCCAGAAATGAACACACATTGCAAAGCTGTGCTCCCACAATCACACCCTGCATTGGAGTAAAATGTGGTTAGTTTCTGCTTAGAAGATTTAATTCTGGCTCTTCCACATAGTAGCTAAAAGTCCTTGAGCAAGTCCATTCCTCCTTGGGGCCTATTATCCATGAGTAACAGAACCAAAGAATGAATATTAATCTTCAAACCCAGCACTCCTGGAAAGTAGGTAAAAAGGCCTCCAGCTCAGTGGGTAGAGGGCTCTCTGTCCAGAGGGCTGGCACTAGCTCCTCTGCCATCTTGCCGTGTGACCTTTCACAAAGTACTTTCTCCCTCTGAGCCACAGCTTTGTCACGTGTATGATGAGCAGATTCCTCACCCACCCTCCATTCTCAGCTAAGAGCTTTTCTGAGTCCATGATCCTATGACCCAGTCCCAATAATGTGAGCAGACTTAGAATGAGGTGGGGTGGAAGGACAGATAATGTTGGGCTAGGAGTCCAGACCAAAGCAAAGAAGCTGGGGGTGTAGTGGAGTTTGTCTGGGCACCCAGGAAAGACTGCAGGACACATATGCAAAGGAAGGGGAACAGTTCTTTCACCCCCATCTCCATTGAGACCAACCCAGAGGAACAGATGCCCAAATCCTGCAGGCACCACAAATGTCCTGGAGCACACTACTTCCTTTCTACATTAATGTTCCACAGCTTTCCTCGGAACTTGGTTGGGAAATTCCAACCTCTGCCCCCTTGGCTGGAGGCCCTGGGGACTACCTGGGGACTACCTGTAGGCTCAGACCACTCAGGTCTGGAGGTAGCAACAGCCTCAGCTCAGCAAAAGCACCTGGGACCTCTCATTCCTTCTCGACCCCACCCCTACCATTCTGACCCAGAAGACACTTGGCCTTGGTCTTCAGTTTCCTACCCAAGTCCTCTAGTTCTCAGTTGAGTGGACTCACCTGCTTGCCTAGGCACCAAATCTCCCTCCCCCAGCTTCCTCCCCTCCCCAGCTCTTGTCCCTTCTATCCCCCAGGGATTGACATCCTCTTCTTCTGAATGGAGCCCTGCTATAAATAAAGAACCAAGCACCCTGACCCTTACTACCACCACCCAACCCACCCAGTTTGCCTGTCGCTTGCTGGGTCCCCTGCCTCTGTCACCAACTTGGGAAGCGCTGAGTGCCTCTTTAGATCCTGCCACTCCTGATCAGGCTTCTCAGTCCCTCTCCTTTTACCTCTGCATCAAATCCCACTGTCAATGCTCCCAGCAGCCCCACCTGAATGGTACTGGAGAGAAGGAGGGACTGAGGGGACTTGCTTCACAAAGAGGCCCAGATGACAACCAGGAGACCTGGCTCCACCCCCAGCTGGCTCAGGGACCCCAGGCCCACCCAGCCAGTGTTCTTACCTTCTCCAGTTGGTGGACACCCTCTTCCACACAGCAGATGGAGGCCAGTGTTCGGAGTGCCTGGGGGTACAAGCACCGGAAACTGTCCTGCCGGCAGACCTTGAAGAGGGCCACGACCCCACCCTCCTGTCAAGAAAAAGAAAATGTGACTGAGAATATGACCTCACCAGGTGACCTTTCCTGAGGCTGCCCGGAGAATAATTGAGTAACTTATATCCAGATATGCTTCTGAGTCCTCCACCACACACACACACACACGCATGCACACATGCTAAGTGAAATGTAGGCTCTGGGTAGTTCAAATGGAGATGAGATTCCCCAAGAGCTCCTGGGAGTTGGGACCCAGTGGCTAGGGCAGATATTCTGCTAGGGCTGGCGATCAACACCCTCCAACACAGCTGCTGGACACCTGGCAACACGGACTTGGCAGCCCTGGTAGAGCAGGCTGGAGCCCTCAGAAACATCCCAGAACCAGATCAGAGGCAGGGGGAGGGAAGAAAGGACCAGAAGCCCAGTACTGGCTTTGGCTCCATAATCAATCTCAGACTGCCTCATGGGGCAGGTCAAAAGGAGTTTCATTTTCATCACTACTATAACACAGACAAACCATGGATTGCGAGTACCTTGGTCCACAAGTGTTCCACAAGATAAGCAAATTTTTTTTCTTGCTGTGATTTTTTTTAATCTTTATTTTTCATTAGTGCATGTTTGTCATGCATAATAGTCTCATTCATCGTGGGGAATTTATATCTATACATAATACATCTTAATTCTTTTTTTTTCCATTCCGTACCCTTCAACCTTTCTTCCCTCCCCACTTAGAAAAGCTCTGCTTCCATTTTTTCCTTCCATTCTCTCTTTTTTAAAGCCTTTTTCTTTCCTTCCCTTCCTCCAACCCCCTCCATACTGATTTCCACAGCAGTTGTACCATTTTACACTCCCACCAAAACAATGGAAAAAGGTGCCTTTTCCCCCACAGCCCCGCCAGCACTTGTTATTGGTTGATTTCTTGATAGCAGCCATTCTTTCTGGGGTGAGGTGGAATCTCAGTGTTGTTTTCATCTGCATCTCTCAAATGACCAGTGATGTTAAACATTTTATCACATATTTATTTGCTGTTTGTACTTCTGCATCTGAGAGGTGTCTGTTCATTTCAGATGCCCATTTTTGAATTGGGTTTTTAAATTTGGGGGATCTCCTTTTTTTAGTTCTTTGTATATTATAGATTTTAGTCCTCTAAGGAGTAGCTGGCAAAAATGCTTTTCCCATTTTATGGGTTGTCTTTTAACTCTGTTGGTGGTTACTTTTGCTGTTCAAATGCCTTTTAATTTGATGTGATCCCATTTCTTGATTCTTTGTAATATTTCCATGCAATTGTGGTTTTGTTCAAAAAAGAAAAGCAAACATTTCTAAGAAATTTTTAACTTGATAAATGTGCGATCTCTTGCAATATGAGTTTTAAGTCATCTCTCTCTCTCTCTCTCTCTCTCTCTCTCTCTCTCTCTCTCTCTCTCTCTCCTTTGATATATAAGTGCTTTGGATTGTGAGTGGAATGAATTATTCTTACAAACCAAGGTCTTATTTGCATATTTCCACTCCATGATGGAAAAAACTGAAGCCAAGATGGGTAGAGTAATTCACCCTAAATCCACACCATCCTTATTTTCACTCTTTAACTTCTGTTTCTTTCTAAAAAAAAAATCCTTTAGGGAGACAATCACCCAGCTCTTGAGTGCAAGCATATCCTTTACTTACGTATATGAAACTTCTTTCCTTGGTCTTCTTGAAACTGCCCAGCATAGTGTGTCCCTCCTAGGAATCTGGGATTGAGGAGCTTATGGTCTAGGGGCCCTGCCAAGTGATGATATTCATTTTGTAATGATTCCTGGAGTCTGCCTTTCTTTGGGTGCAAGATAAGAGCATCACCAGATCACACAGGGATTCACCACAACTCCCAGCCAAATAATGTCAGCACTACCTTGCACACTGGAGCAGAAGCTGGATGCACAGCATCTGGCTTGGCTTCTGTCCCTCCTTCTTCCCTTCCCACAAAAGATGGAAGGATCTAGAGGTGGCAGCTATAAAGAACAGGAGCAAGTGATCTCAGCCCTTGGGACATTTGCCTTTCACCGAATCACTCCTGGGTCCGATTAAACCCAATGCACCTGTTCCCAAAGTGGAGCAAAATGTCACAGGAAGAAGGTGAGTTCAGCAAAATACTATTCCCTATCAAGCTTTTAAGAACTCTGTCCACCAAAAATATATCAAGTACCAGTACTGCCAAAGCCAGGCTCAGTTCCATGAGCTGGGGCTGTGGCAATGAATGACTGCAAGGATAAAGAAGGAGCAAGGGGCAGAGAAAGCAACACCTCTACAACCCAGCACAGGTGCCCCAAGGTAACTCAGTCCAAAATCTTTCTTTCCCTCTGCTCCAAGAAAATAGCCTCATGGCCCTTTTCACTAAGAGTTTTGTAGGGACCAAAATGAACATGTCCAACTCTGGGAGGATTCAGAATTTCTAACATTTTATAATAAGCTAAGGTTGATTGCACTTTTTTATAGCCCTGCCTTCTTGGACAATCATTTTGTAAGAAAAAAGCAAAATTTAGAGCTGGTGAATTTATTCATGCACTCAAAAATGGTAATAATCTATTATACCCCAGACATCGTGCTGAGAACTGAGCAAGAATGGTCCATTCTACACCCACCCTGAACTCATGGTCCAGCAGGGAAGGCAGGCAATTCTAGAATCAGACACAAAACTGGGTAGGGTAGTGATGAAATGAGCGTGGGGTGCAGGGTTAAAGAAGCACAGGATGGAGCCCCTCACAGTCTGGAAAGAGTTTTTGAAGGAGAAAGACAGACTCACTCTGCTTTTAAGAGCATCTTTACTCCATTAAAATATGTCTAGCATGAGTGAAGATACCCACCTCTCTGATTTCTTGTTCCTTTATCCTTTATCTCTGTCTTCCTACTTTTTTATGGGCTATCTGATGAAGGTTGCACATAAAGACCTGCCTCAGAGGATCAGTGGAGCAAAATCAAGTTACTCTTTAAAGTGAAAACAAAAGAAACAAGAAGTCCTAAGCTCTCCCCAGCACTAATAGCCTCGCCAAACATAAAGATACATATAGATGCATATACAGTATATTTATATACATGCACATTTATATTTAATCATCTAAGTTGTATTCCAATACATAGATGATCGATAGATATTTACATCTGGAGCAGACAACAAAGAAGTGGTGCCAAAGAGGATGAGGCCAGAAGGCAGGAGAATGTGACAACCTCCTTTTGGCTCCAGAGGCACTGAGACTAGCAGAACTATATTTAAGACTCTGGGTGTATTTGCATTAGATCCTGTTTACCTCGTCTCCCAAGACTGTGAAAAATGTCCTTCTTAGCATTTTCAGCTACTGGGAGAGGAAAGAAGAAACTCTGGGACTCAGACTAAAAGGGTTGGTCCAGATCCTTGCTCTGCTGCTGGTTAGCTTTGGATAAAAGGGAACAGTGACAGCTACATTGCTGAGCAGTAGGGGGAGCAATCAAGTTAACAGATGCTGAAGGGCTGTGTACGGGCTCCGGACAGAGGAGTGAGTCCGGTAGGAGCAGGGCTTCCTGGTTAAAGGTTGTCTCAGACACTCACGCAAGCTATGCCAAGAGCTGGGGAACGTGAGGGGCAAAGGAGGAAGGAACCCACAGAGGAATTGAGATGGGCTACTTCATGGCACACACTGAGCCCCCACTCGGGATCCGAAGGCAGCGCTCAGCCCACAGTAACGCTGCAGTCGGCTGAGCTAGCAGATCACACTGTTGGCTGGAGCTTGTTTAATTTTATAGAAAGCTCTGGGCTCAGAGCCCAGCTATAGGACGGTATGAATTATTCAGACAGGCTTGGGATGAGCTGTCATAAAGCTGGCAGGAGCACTTACGGGGTGTGTAGGCTAGGGTGGAAGGAACAGCTGAGCAGCTGGCAGAGGTAGATTTGACAAAGCACCAGGGAGTTGTCTGTGCTCGACTCTGGGCAAGGGGTTGGGTCTGCCACCATCATGATAGGGAAGACTGGGCCTGGTCTTGGTCTCAGTGGATTCCAAGAGACTAAAGGAACAGACGTCAGACAGACCGCCCAAGTTCTATCCTGGAGGCAGCTCAGATAGATGAATAACTCAAAGAAGGAGCCCAGCGGGTCCAGGGAGGTGGATGAGGAAGGCAACTGGGGTGGACTGCCGACATCTGTCAGTGTTGGACATGTGTGCTGAGCATCTGGGGTGAGGGTGCTGTGCAGGGCATTTCAAAGACTCACGCTTTCTGTGTCACTATGAGGACTGAACATTCACACATAGTGATTGTATTGGAGACACACGCCCCTGCACATTCCAGGCTGGAAGGATGGGAGTAATCACTGAATCTTCTGATTCAGCCCTCTGTCTACTCTATCCCAAGGACCAGAGAGACAAAGGAAGGTTGAGATGAAAATTTGGAGTCAACAGATTTGGTTCAAATTCCACCCTCTTAATGGGTGTGACCTTGTGCAAGTTATTTACTTTCTTCCTGAATTTCTTTTTCCTTATCTTAGAGATGGGAATTAAAATTCTAACAGTTTGTTATGGCTAGATGTCCCCTCAAAGCCTCATGCAGTCATAGGTGGGGCTTTTCAGAGGTGTCTGGATCTAGAATATATGATGCTGGGATTGATTCATGGTGCAATGATAGGATCAAGGGCACTAGGACTAAGGATGTGAGTGCTACCTGCCCTAAGTAGCCTGGGTGAGATATAAAGGACAGAAAGAGCTGTGGTCATCTCTTATTTGCTTTATTACCTTCTGCCAGCCATGAACTGCTTCTCCTCTGCCGTGCCACCCTGCTTTGGAGCCAGCCAACTCTGGACTGAAACCTCTACAAATTGTAAGCTAAATAAACCTTTTCCCTACTTTGGGTGCTGAGTATTTTGTCTCAGCAATGAGAGAAAAGTAAGAAAGACACACTTCAAAAGACTGTTGGAGCATGGGAGAGATATTGAGTGCGAAGTTTAGCACAGTGCTTGAGTAAATAATGAAAGACATGGAAAGTACATGGGAGGAGGGCAAAGAGAAGAAGAGGGTGAGAAGGGAGGAAGGTGGGGGGGAGCTGCTGATATGCAAATCAGAACAGTAACCAAGAGCACAGCCTTTAAGCCTAAACAGCCAGATTCAAATTCTGCCCCTTACTAGATGTGTGGCCTTCTCACTTTCTCAGCTCCACCACCTGTACAATGGGAGTAGATGCTATCTACCACCCACGATTAGTTGGAGGCCTAAATCAGTTATTACATAAAGATCACTTAAAGCATTATCTGGTGCATAGTACATGTTATAAACATGCTTATTCCTGTTTTACTACTACTGTTACTTCAATATCATCACCACTATCATCATCAACATTGGCCACTTCCAGCTCGGAAATCTCAGACTTCCCCATTGCTCCCCAACTCTTGCCTCGCCCTAGTCCTGGCCTTGACCCGCCTCACAGCCAAAGTGGGCAAGGAGAGCACTGTGTAGTACACCAGGAGCAGAGAAGCAAGAACTACTGATTAATAGATAAGGGCTTTGCCTGGACTGGGAACCACTAGGTTTTAGCCACTTAAGCAGGTGAATGGAAAGAGCATTGAGCCCAGAGCCGGGCAAATCTGGTTTCACTTGTCAGCTGTCCAAGGTACTAAGCCATTGTGAGTCCTGGAGTCCTTATCTGTGAAACAGAGTCATGGATACTGATCTCAAAGCAGTGTGTGTGAACAAGATATGGTACCTGCGGAAAGTGTTAATACAGAGCCTGGCACATGGGCAATAACCAAAATTTAGTCATTCTTATTGTGTTATTGCTGATAACATTCAATGAGACTCGTGTATTTCCAGCTCTGGTGGGGCGTGACCCATGTAACCTCAAGATTATTTCAAATCTTTAAACCACTGCTCATGGTTCTTGAGGGTCCAGGGCTGGTTTGGGGATCACAGGGGATATCTGAGTAGCTAAAGGGAGGGATGGAATAGCTAAGGAGCCTTTAAAGAAAACTTAAGGAAGGGATGACTAAATACGGAAAATAAAGTTCACCTTATCCTTCCGTTTAAAAATAGAGTAGGATAAAACTAAAATTGCATCCTTACTTATTGCATAGAAACACCAAGAAAGTCAGACAGGATGGTAGATCTGGGAAGTCTCTTAAATGTCATGGAGTTCAGTTTTTTTGGTCACAAAGGTGGAGCTAATGTCCCAGTGGCCTGGCCAATCTCCCACAGTGAGCTAATGGCAGCACTGGGATGAGAACTGCCCTGGCCTTTCTCTCTTGCTTTTCACCTCTGGAAACATTTGGGATCAATCTTTACCAGAGGTGGTCCTCAGAGGAAACTAACTCTGCAGGAAGCCAAACATCATCTTTGCTTCAAGCTCAAGTGCACATTCTCCCTCTGCTTTTCTGAACGAGGACCACAGATGCGGGCAGGTGACAGGAATTGTCTATATCAAGCAGCACATGGAGAGGAGACTGTGTGCCCAGGCCTGGAATGGGGCACCCAGAGCATCAGAGCCTGTGCCCAGCAAAGTCTCCTTCCCAGGCAAATTTAAGCCCTGTTTTTTCTAAAACACAAAACACCTTCAGGATCATGCTGCCATTCAGACTAAGTCTTGCTACTTCCAGGGTTCAGATCTATACCTAGAGCTTAAACCCAGCCAGTGTTTGCCATTTATTTTGAAAGAGAAAACTGATCATTGTTCTAAAAGCAACTGAGCTAACTTTTGTTGGAAATTAACCATTAAACTAGTGCTGAGAGGTTGGAGCAGCTCTCTGCTCCTCTACAGCATCATGCAGACCCTTGCATAGTCAACACTTCCAACCAAGCTGAATGGCTGACTCACAGAATCCTTGGAGGGGACACCCCAATGTTACCCGAACCACCCTCTCTGCCCCAACACTGTCACAAGGTTTTCAAGTTAAATCTCAACTAATGGCCCACAACAGGAGTCCTGTCCTCAACTCAAGCAATAGGGGATCAGAAATCACCTGGAAAGTAAAAATATCTACCCTAGACCCTACTCCAGATCAATTAAATCATAATCAGAAATTGCTAAATCTCCCTTTTGATTCTAATGGGCCTCCAAGGTTGAAAATTTGAGTCACACTTTGGCTCAAAAATCTGAAGGTCTATGCTATGAATTGAACCAGAAGTCACTACTATGGGCTCTGGACCATGAACTCTGAACTACAGAGACCTGAGTTCTAATTCAGATTCTACTCCCTATCAGCTGTGTGACCTGGACAAGTCCCTCAGACTATGACCTCAACTATAGATTAGAATAACATGATACCTACTTTATAGGATAATTCTGTGATTTAAAAGAAATCATGCATGCAAAGCACTAAGCGCAGTACATGGCAACACTCCAGTATGAGCTATTGCTGTTACATAAAATTTACCTCTGTCCCAACCAAAGGTGACAAGCATTTACCCTGTTCTTCCAAATTTCCTTAAGGGCTTAGATCAGGGATTCTGAGAGCTGGACCATGCTTCAGAATTACCTTTACAGCCTGTTAAAATGCAGATTCCCAGATCTTACCCCAGGGCTTCAATAAATCTTGAGTGGGGAAAAGAGTATCTATGTTTTCCACAAACTCTCTGAAGGATTGTAAAGCAGCATGAGGACTTGGAACCACAAAGCTGGAGTATTTTTTGTGACTTGTGTCATAAGTCTCTTTAAGGGCCTAAATTTGGTTCCAGTTAGATCACTGCTTCTAAGGGTGAGGTCACTTCTCAAAGTGAAAACAGAAGAATGAAACAGAAGCCCTTACTTTGATCCAAGGCTACCAATTGACTATATTTGCTCTAAGTTTTTGGAGGCCATAATGAAGGGCAAATTAATGAATTAAAGCTCCTATTGTTATTGAGGAAAACCACTGTCTTTTTTCATCTTCCCTCATGTCGTATTGGAATGGCCACAGGTACTTTTGAAACCCAGCCAGGAAGCTAAGTAAGGGATACGTTGGGATAGAAGCCTAGAGAACACATTCCTCTGAATTTGATGTGAAGGTCATGTTTATAGACCTAGTCCTCCTGATAGCACTGATGCTAATTATTATGGGATAGAGGTCATTATGGTGACAGGATTAATATACGGGGCTCAACTGACAGGTAAAACATGAAACAAAACCACTTTCTTTGAGCTGTGTTTGAGACACCACATTTTTTTATACGCATGATGCCAGAATGCCATATAGAGTCAATCAATCTTTTAAACTGTTACATGCCAGATGGGCTTTGTCTTCACTACATGATCTTGTGGACACCAGGGATACCACAGCTGTCAAGAAGGAAAGAATATGTGGAGATGGGGAAGGAGGGTTGTTTGTAACAAATGCTGCATAAAGCAAGGTGATAGAGGTTCTGAGGATACCAGCTTTTTGTCGAAAGTAGGAAATCAAAGGGACCCTCTCCCTTTTAAAGATAGAAACACCAAGGGCCATATAGAAGAGATGACTCACAAGGTCACCCAGCAAGCGAATGCTAGAGCTGAGATGGGCCTCCTGAGCCAGCCATTCACACCCACCAAACAAACAAGCTTCCTTGTACTCTCCCAGGCCTGCTACCTGGCCCCTAACTATGAGTTCACCTGGGCTATGATGCGGCACAAAGGCGCACCCTCCTGGGTCAGGCTGAACAAGTTCCCTGTGGTGGACTCCATGGTATAGATGTTGTCCGAGGCATCAATTTTTCTCACCAGTGCCTACGAAGAGAGAGAAAAGTTAGCTGGTCACTTAACTCCAACTGCCTGCCCTCTCATCATTTTCCTTAATGAAATACCAGTGAGCTGATGCTTCTGAGAGCCTCCATGCCACATCCATTGCCCCACTGTGGGCAACAAGGCTTTAACTTTGGGAAAGACATCAGTCAGGGAAAGACCTGAGCTACATTTCAGAGACATGCAGTTATTTCAAACCCCTCCCCTGATCTGGTTCATCAAAACTCAGCTCTCAACACTGATGGACTCAGCAAATCCCATTTTGTTTTGCTCCTGGATCCTACTGATAACAGAAACCATCAGTTAAATAAACAAAGGTCAAATTGAAAATCAATGTGTTGCTACAGCTATAGCCAAAGAATTTGCTCCTTTAGGATGACTATTAGCCAAAGGTGACCCCAACTGGGTGCTGGGTTTAGAGATAAAGTCAACAGAAGCACTCTACAGCAGCTTAGTGCTTGGAGGGAATCTGCACTGGATGTACAACCAGACCAAAATAACAACAATGAAAATTCCCCCACCAGGTGGGTAACTCAGTGAGTGAAGCCATAATGGCCAAAGCTGAAGGAGTCTAGGCTACTGGTGATAAGATCCTGGAAATGACCAAATGTATGACAAGGGAGGCCCAGGAAAGAAAACAAATGGAAGTCATATACAAATAAGATATGAAGATTATTCCTAGAAGAGTTTAGCTAATTTCTGGGAAAAAGCTTTTTATGAATCTTGAAACCACTTAATAATCACCCATTAGTTTGGAGCATGTGACTCATTGATTATAAGTGATTCCTACCTGCTAATTATAGCCAGTTGCTTAAATTTCTCCTGGAGGCTGGAGATAGAGATGGCAGAGCTGCCCTGAAAAGCAGCATAAAAGAAGGAAGACCTCCCAAGCCGGGTGCTCTGAGGAGCTTCCCATGCATTTTCAACTGCCATGTTCATTTTCACATATTAAACTGGACTTGTCTCTAAATAACCTTGGGGCTATAGAAATGAGAAACTCTGAGTTCTGGACCCAGCTTGCCTTTAACATATCATGTTGATGGAGTAGGCATCTGCTTAAAAGCATGGACTCTGGAGTCAAGCTGCCTGGGTTCAAATCCTGGCTCTGCCACTTCTGCCCCTGTACCCCAGAGCAGGTCATTTCATTCAGCTCGCCTCTGCCTCATGTCCTCATCTGTAGAATGTTGAAAATAACAGTGTCTTCTCTTAAGGTGATTATTCCCATTTCTTAAGGTTGCCAGTATATAGAAAGAACTTCTAAAAGGACTCCTACCTTGTGGAGGCAAAGTAAAATTCTCTTTTCTTTTTTGGTACCGGGGATCAAACTCTGAACCTTGTGCTTGCAAGGCAGGCAGTGGAACCACTGAGCTAAATCCCCGGCCCCAAAGTAAAATTCTTAGGAGTTATTATTTTGTGACCTTGGAGAAATTTAGATAATCTGCCTGGGATTTGGTTTCTCCACTGTAGAAGGATTAAAATCAAGAGAGTTAGAGGTTCAAGGTAAATGACTGCCTTTTTATTTAAGCTCATGGGAATTTTTCTCACACACAGTACACTAATCCTCTCCAGACAGTGGCCTAAGATTAAGTATGTATTTAATAAAACTACACTAAATATAAAAGTTATTCCCCAAGATGAGTTTTAACATAAGGAAGTATTAATAACCAAGATTTATCACTACAAACCTCTGTAATGAACACTCTCCTTAGAATCCTTCCCCATTGTGACTGTAAGCAGCCTCACATGTGATACAAATGCTCACATGAAAATGCAGATTTCATATATTGGGGTTCTGTACCTAAATGATAATTACCTAATGTTTCTAATTAGTGTTTACACTTGAAGCAAATTACCATTACATTAAACAATTCAAACTCAGTGTCTTGCAATCAGCTGCTAATATTAGACCATTTATGTCTAAGAATAATTTCGTGTTACTATCTATACACATATATAGAGTAATTATACCCCAGATATATCTCAGTGAATCAGATCCCTGACAAAGGGAAGTAGTGAGCATCCTTTCCACAGCATAAATGTGGAAAGATAGGAGATAAAAGGTTCCACTGGGATCTTCCAGGCCCTGAATATCACAATATGTCAGAGTTGGAAGAGCCTCAGAAGTCTTTTGTCCAAATTTCATTTCACAGTTGAGGAAACTGAGGCACTGAAACCTAACAAAGTTTCTACATGCACTCCAGGGAGGCGGGAGGAACAGGACTCTGTCCCCTGTGAGTCTGACTTCCAATTTTTAAAGATTAATGACTCCATCACTGATGTAGGCAGAACCTTCCATGAACAGCTCCCAAGTGAAGCTAGAAGTCCCGGGCAAGGATACAGCCAGCCACATTAGCAGCTCTCACCACGAGGAGAGCGGCTGTGTACCAAGGCTTCCCACTCATGTCTGACACTGTGGTCACCAGAGCTCCTGAAACAGGAGGCAGAGCTAACTGCAAGCCCCAGCTGCTGCCCTCTGGATCTGCCCCTGTGTTCTCGCTGAGACCACAATTCCCAGACCCATGATTCTCTGATCTACTCTCAGCTGATACTGCACACAATATGCCTATGACACAGGGAATTTCTCCAAAGGGTGACTATGGTTTGATTCACTGTCCACGACTTTCTTGCTACTCAGTCCTTCCTTCTGCCTTTCCTTTCTCAGATGTCACACCTGCAACATGGCTTTCCATGCCTTCATCTGCTTCATCTCCATTATCCTCCACAGAAATTCCTACCCGGTCCTATCTTGACTTATGCTTCAAACTGACTCAGTTCTAAAAACTCAAGGTTCTTTTTTTCAGGAAATCAAGGAGAAAACAGACGTATTATAAGAAAAGTGGTGAAAAATGAAAACAAAATAAAGAAGATAGGCTTAACAGGCTAAATTATTTTCTTAAAAGACAGACCAGGGAGATAAGAAACAAACAAACAAAAATAGCTCTTTAAGACCAGGAAAAAGAAGAAAAGAGAAGCTAAAGAGATACATGCAGTCAGCTCTAGATAAGAAATTAGAAAAAGATGATATATTTTTGTTTATCAAAGAGTGACTGCAACCTAGTGAAATCAATTAGAAAGAAAGAGTAAACTCTTAGAAGGACAGACTGGAATGAGATTCTCAGAAGGAGCCAGGAAAATATGCAAAGCTCCTCCTTGAAGCTCTAGATGGAGAACCCATGATTATACAACAAAGCATCCCACATATGCAAGGGAGTCACATAAAATGCAGGCAGATTCAACATGGTGAAAGAGATTAAAGATGGCTACAAATTCTTTCCTACACCTTCCAAACAGTGATGAGTTCTAGTTCCACTTTACTTGAAAATGGGCTGGGCTTCATGTCTTGCTTGAGTAATAGAAGGAAGTACTCAGCAGAAGTGACATACCAAGACTCCAAATACTAGGTCATAAAAAGCCTTGACGCTTCCACTTAGACTTCTTGAGACACTCGTTTGAGTGCCCTGAGCTGCCCTGTAAGAAGTTTGGTAACTCCTGAGACTGTCGTGCTGGGAAAGCCACATGTAGAATCTCTATTAACACTCAATCGAGAGCAGTTCCCACCCTCTCCAAGGCCCCATCCACATGAGGGAAGCTGTGTAGGGCTCTCTGAACCATCTGAACCTGAACATCACCTCTGTCAATGCCCAGATGGAAAAGTAAAATCACTCAGGCAAGCCCTGCCCAAATTCTTGCCCCTTAAAATCATGAAATATAATAAAAATGGTTGTCTTTAGGTTAGTTTTAATGGTTTGATAAAGTCTAAGCACAGAAAATATTACAAAGATCAGCATAAACATTTCAAAGGAATATGGATAAATTCCCAAGTAAAAGTTTTTGGAAGTGAGCATGTAGTACTGCCTGGGTCCTGGAAACACGCTGGAGAAAGCAGGACTTAGGACTCTGAGGAAAGGAGCAACTGAAGAAGTAAACAAAATAGTGACTTAATTATTAGATTAGCTATTGGTCAGACAAGAAAATGTCTTTCTGGTGGGAGTATCCCATTTAGAAAGGTAAAAGTAGACAAGATCTGTTAGAACTGGAGGCTTCTGGAAACTGAGAACTTAACTGACTTCGTTTCTTTCAACAAAAGAAATGCCCAAATGTAGAAGTGTTTGTTGGAAAACCAAAAGAGTGTGCCAAAAAGCAAATGGAAGTAAATGTGGGGAAAGTAGCTCAGATTCAGGTGTCAGATTCACTCAGAAGTAAAGAGACCTACGTGAGGAGAAGAGTAGTTGTTAGATTCAACTGAGTGTCCCTAAAAGCATTAGGGAATTAACAGAAAAAAGGAGAACACTGGAGCCATAGTTCACTACAGGAAAACAAGACATAATAGAAAGGAATATTACTCAAGCCTGGAATATTCAAAACATATGGAAAGATGGAATTCTGAAAAGCACCTGGCTCAGGAGCTGGTCCTCCCTGGGCCCATTAAAGCCAGACCTCAGGAACTTCGAAAATGGCGGCAGTTCAAGTACCTGCTGAGGACGATTCTCCAGCAGAAGTGTTTATGGGAAATCCTCGTTGGGACACGGGGATCTCAAGGCCTAAGAAATTCTCTAGTAAGAGGCAGCGACAACAGCCAGCGTGCTATGGAACCAGAATGCCAGTGTATCTAATGTCAAAAGAATATTTTTTCATTTAACCTAAGAATTTTGAAAATTACATAACCCTTCATACATTTTTAATTTGATAGCTACAATCTTTATCATAGATTTAAAAACAAAATTGCAAAGGATATAATTTCCAGAAACTGTATATACTGACCTAAAATAAAGCCATTGTGCTGATTTTTAAATTTATTCAGTGGAATCTGAACACCAAATCAGCTTCAACATTTATTCAAAACTACATGAATAATCATTCTTTCAGATTTTGTACCTTCTCTTTTCATCATTAAATTTATATTCCCACTCCACATTTTCCTCCGAATTATTCCTTAATGTGATACATTTAAGTTTTATTTATCATCCATATTATCATTGAAATTT